GGACCTGGGCCATCCTCCACTGCCTTCCCGGGCCACAGCAGAGAGCTGGACTGGAAGAGGAGCAACCGGGACAGAATCCGGCGCCCTGACCGGGACTAGAACCTGGGGTACCAGTGCCACAGGCAGAAGATTAGCCTAGTGAGCCACGGCACCGGCCGTAAACTTTCAAAAATATTTCAAATACATAAAAGGAACTTATGTTACGAACAACGACCATTGATTGAACCTGGCAATTAATTTTATTTTCACCACATACTGCATTAAAATAACAGGACAGAGTTTTGAGTTTTACTTTTTAAATGTTTAATTATTTATTTGAAAGGCAGAATAACAGAGGAAGGGACAGAGAGAAACCTTCTATCTGCTGGTCACTTCCCAAATGGCCACAACAGCCAGGTCTGGGCCAGGCTGAAGCCAGGAGCCAGAAACCCCATATAGGTCTCCCATGTGGATGACAAGGGCCCAACCACTTGGATCATCCTCTACTGCTTTCTCAGGTACATTAGCAGGGAGCCGGATCAGAAGTGGAGCAGCTGGGACTTGAATCAGAGCTCCAGTATGCAATGCTGGCATCACACAATCAGTGGCTTAACCATAGCTTCTTAATTTTTAGATGGTTGGACATAGTCTTATAATGAAATTTCATTTCATAGAATGTTTGCCTCTAGATCAGTCATTCCAAAATGAGTTCTGCTGTGTCACAATGCTGGCCCCAGAGATTTTTGAAAAATACAAAACCCACCAAACAAGACAGGAGACACAGTAACAATATTTCAGAAGCTGAGCCAGAAACAGGTAACTGCAGTAACAGATCTAACAGGTGGGAGGAACAAACTTGTTTCCGTGTCAGAATCTCTGAGTCGCAGGAATTGGCAGCAGATACCCTTGGACGTTGGTGTGAAAGGATGTATTTGTTGAACGGTGTTTGGGAATTAGTTCTGACTCCAAATCCCCTCCCATACCCTCCTGGACTCCTGGACACACTTGCCCTTGGAGATGATGCAGTGAGAGGCTCTGGACCACGGGACCCATCATGACAGAGGTTCATTTCACCTCCACGCTGGGCTGCTGACACCTTGGAGAAAGCTGCCTGTTTTCTCTGGAAGACCTGACAGCCCAAGGAACTTCTCTGTTGAAGCAGCCCAACTGGGTCATCTCATGGTAGGGGTATGACCAGCAGGTGTCCTGTTCCTTTAGCCTCCACTCTGGCTTTGTGTCTGTAATTGTCTCCACTGTTAGATAAGAGCAGGGAAGGCTTATTTGAAGACATCTTGTGACATGTAAGAACCCCAAACAACAGATGAAGAACAGATTGAAAGAAATCAATACTTAGGGGCCTGCTGCATGGCTCAGGAGGTTAATCCTCCCCCTGCGGCACCGACATCCCATATGGGCGCCAGTTCTGGTCTCGGCTGCCCTCTTCCAATCCAGCTCTCTGCCATGGCCTGGGAAAGCAGTAGAAGATGGTCCAAGGCCTTGGGCCCCTGCACTCGCATGGGAGACCGGGAAGAAGCACCTGGCTCCTGGCTTCGGATCAGTGCAGCTCCAGCAGTTGTGGCCATCTGGGGAGTGAACAAACGGAAGGAAGACCTTTCTCTCTGTCTCTCTCTCTCACTGTCTGTAATTCTACCTCTCAAATAAACAAATAAAATCTTAAAAAAAAAAGAAATCAATACTTAAAAGGAAGAGAAAAATTTCCGAATCACGTGTAACTTCAGAAAGTTAAGGAGAGAGTCAGCAACCATGCAACAAGAATAGGTTGCTTTTAACAAACAGGATGATCAGAAAACAAATACTTTGGTAACTGTAGATGTGGTAGCAAAAATAAAAACTTTCACAGTGGGATAAAAAGGCAGAATTTAAAAAATTTCTCAAAAAGCAGAACAAAAAGGCTAAGAAAAATAGGTAACAGGAGAGAGTAAGAAAATCAGAGAATCGATCAAGGTAGTCCATTATCCAAATAGTAGGAAAAGAGGATAGAGACAATGGTGGAGAGGAACCCAACAACAAAGCATTCAAACATTTTTTTCAGAACTCATGGGCGAAATGCCCAGATTGAAAAGACCCACTGAATCCCCAGCACTGTGGATCAAGATATGCCCACACCGAGGTGCCATTATGGGAAAATTCAGAACATCGAGGGAGAAATTATGGGGATGGGGTGGGGTGGGAAGCACAATAAACAGGTAAATTCAAGGAACCTAGAATCTGAATTTCATTCTTCTCAACTGCAACACCAAAAGCAGCAAGTCATTAGGGACAATGGGATTCCTATTCCAGTCAGACTTTCAGCCAGATGCTGGTTAGAATAGTCATTTTCAGATTTGGAGGTCACCAAAAATTCATTTCCCTGGAAGCTATTAGATGTGCTTCATCAAAATGAACAAATAAGCTGAGAAAAAAGGATATGAGATCCAGGAAACATAGATGCAATGAATGAAAATAGTAAAGTGAGTGCCCACAGTGGCAGAGTGAGATCATAGGCAGAGGGGATCATCAGTCCACATGTAGGCAGGTGAGAGGTATGAGACATGAGCCTTCTCCAGGAATGTTACAATGCATGATATGGCTTAGTCTTTTGAGAGGGCAGTTGGACAGTTGGTAGGCAGTCTTGACTTGAACCAGCTATGAGTACATAGAAAATTAAGGTGGAAAAAAACAATCCCAAGGTACTTGTTCACTCCAGAGATAAAATTAAGCATTGTGCAGAAAAAGAAAGTTAAATTAACATGTGTAGTTAAGCTCTGAACATTTATACCATTACAGTAATAGAAAGTGATTACTGATCTAGCCAACAAACCAACTTTACTCCATAATCATATTTGGAGGATGGTTTGATGGAAAGGGTTTATGTGTGTCTAGGATGGTTGTGTGTGTGTGTGTGTGTGTGTGTGTGGTATGCAAATAGGAAGAAAACGGTCAAATCTTCATTCTCCAGAGGGAGAACTGATACAAAATGCTAAAACAGAAAATGAAAAAGTAACAGTACAGTCATGCCACTTACTTATTTGGTGTCAATAAATAAAGATTGAGAAGGAGGGGCTGGTGCTGTGGCACAGCTGGCAAAGCTGCCATCTGCAGTGCCAGCATCCCATATTGGCACTGGTTGGATACTTAGCTGCTCCACTTCTGACAAAGCTCCCTGCCAAGTTTTCCCTGCATCTGGAAAGCAGCAGAGGCTGGACCAAGTGCTTGGACCCCCCAACCCCGCCATGGAAGACCTGGAAGAAGCTCCTGGCTCCTGGCTTTGACATGGCCTAGCCCTGGCCATTGCTGCCTTTTGGAGAGTGAACTAGGAAGCTGAACATTCTCTCTCTCTCTCTCTCTCTCTTTCTCTCCCACCCCTTTTCTCTGTAATTCTGCCTTTCAAATAAATAAATGAATCTTAAAGAAAACACAAAAGGAGGAAAAGCTCATTAAGCGTAGGGTATTGTTTTGGGTTTCCTCTGTGAGGGAGAAGTTTTCTCTGAGTGAGTACGCAAATTCACCAGCTGATTATTGCTCACTAAGGTAAATTAGGATTTATTCAGCATTTATTGAGAACCCCTCAAATCATGTCCTCTGAAGTTAAAAAAAAAAAAAAAGAATGGATCACAATGACCATGTAGGCCTGCTGCACAGCTGACGTATGCTAAATGTAGTGACTCTACTTTGGATTAAGACTTGATCTCGTGTGATGTCTGATTAGAGTGGCTACATCTTTACCTACGTGGGTTTTGTTTAACTGATGTTTTGGACCATAGCATCTTAATTTTTAGATGGTTGGACATAGTCTTATAATGAAATTTCATTTCATAGAATGTTTGCCTCTAGATCAGTCATTACAAAATGAGTCCTGCAGAGCCCGGTCTATCAGGATGCTTGCTTAATGTAAAGAGCAGTGTCCACATAGGTTGGTGAGCTGTGAATGTTTTGTCATCCTTTTGGAGACTTACAGTGCACATTTGTATGTTTGGAACTCTAAGATGGTTTTGAATTACCTGTGTTTTGCCAGCATCTTCACAGTATTTTTGAACACAGATTCATTTTTTCAACCAATCTCTAGTGTCATGTGGAACACAATTTGGGAAGGTGGTGGACTCTGGGTTATTTCATTTTTGTTGGAAATTAATCTGTTGTGAGTTTTAGGTTCCTTCTATCTCTGAAATGCTGTGACTTTACAAGTTGATCCTCAGTCATTTTCATATGACTTTGAATTATAATTAATATATATATATTATGTATTATATATATTAACAAATATATATAAAAATGCCCTACCTTTGTAGTCATATCTATAAGGCATTATCTTAAATATTAGATGGGAGAGGAAGTTGAGGAGATACTGGTCAAAGGTCATGAAATTTCAGTTACACAAGAGGAGTAAGTCCAAGTGATCTATTCAGCATCATGTTGACTACAGTTAATATATTGTACTCTTGGAGAATGCAAAGAGAGTTCATTTTAAGTGTTTTCACCACAAAAAGGACAACTGTGTGGGGGTAATGGATAGGTCAGTTAGCTTGGATTAGCCCTTCCACAGTGTGTGTGTGTGTGTGTGTGTGTGTGTATCATGCTGTACATAAAAAATACACAATTTAACTTGCCAGTTGGAAAATGAAAATAAATTAAAAAAAATTAAAAAAAAAATGACCTTTGTTCCCTGAGCTATTATCTATCTGGGATTATTACACATGAAATTTACAGCCTAATGTTTTATTTGTATTTACTATTTATTTGTATTTAATAGGATAGTTCAAACAATTTTTATTTTGGCTGAAAATATTTACTTCTGTGAAATTAATAAATCTATTAATTAGATTTATTGCATGGAAATAATATTATGGTAGACTTTGTGGAAAAATTGCAGTGATAACAATTTGAGCATGAAAATTTTTGAAATTGCCACATTTTCTCATGAAATTCGTAGTTTTTACTATGTCATGTTGGACTGTCAAAAGACTTTCAATATCTTTGGAGTAATGTTGGTATTATAATTGATTCATTCTTTTTGTCTAAAGGAGGAAGACAATGGTTGTACAGTGCCAATGGATGAGAAATGGAAACTTCTGAGCCCCAGCTTCTGTTATCCTCAAAGCCTGCCTTGTTTGTCTTCATCTAGTCCAGCTCTGATGGACATCTGGGACAGTTGCCTGTACACATGCTATATTGAAGTATTAGAAGATAAAGAAAACCTCTATTATATACCCAATGTCACTGCTGCTAGTATTCATATTTTTGCATATACTGTTTATTGCTTATGTGTAGAAGGAATGAAGCTAGTTTTGAGTTGTTATTAGTGTGAATATGTATTATGTATTAGTAGTGAGACAGGAAAAATACATCCCCACCATTAGTAGTCCTTCATTTCCTGTCTTCAACAGAAAAATTTTTCACTTGGACAATAGTATAATTCTTAATAATAAAATCAGAGATTGCTTTTGATCAAGAACATAGAGCTGTAACTGCAATGTGAAAGATTAGTAAGAATCATGACTCATGCTATTTTTCAGCACCCTTACCAGAATTAATATCAGGCTGCTGTGTCATGAAAAACATTTTGAGAGTAAATGCAACAATATAATATGTTATATATTATTTAGTTAAAGGATTTAATTGAATCCATGTTTATTTGACAGATTTGAAGCTGTTGCTTCTAGGAATCTGAAAAAAGTATAAGAAATAAAATAGTATAAAAAGAGGGTGGGTACAACAACCAGGAGAGCTTTATTTTCCACAAATAGAAATATGAATTTAATAGTATGCTATGTTAATTTAGTGTACAGTTTTTAAGACTAAAATATTTTATTCTATGTATTTCACTTCTGTAGTATGTTAAGACATTTCTTTTAAATATGACCAATGATACCCTTATTTTAAGTTACAAGAAAGTTTAAGCACATACTTAGTTGGAGTTGACAGAAAGATAATTTACGTGAGACAATTTGCGTGCCCGACACAACGCAAGTACTTAATAAATGTTGTTTGTTGTTGTTATGACTGTTGTTATAAAACAAATGACTCCAATAATGAAGTCCCAATTTGGAGAAATTTTTTGATGCAAAATATCTAAGAAATAATACAGTCATGGAGTAACTATACCTTCAGGGGTTTTAGATGTATTGGGTAAAGGTAGTGGTAATGGAAGCCTTAAATACAAGCACAAATCACAACAGATATCTCTAAAAACAGAAGCAAAGAAAGTTCATCGTGTAATCTTGGGTAGTGAGAGAAAGGACTTGAACTGTGGCAAAGTGAGGAAAGTGGGCTCTTGTGAAGAGTTGGAATCAGTGGCCTCTGACTACTGTAGAGCAGTGTCTCTGAAGGCAGAGAGAGAGCACTTAGATGCTTCCTTTGTGTAGTTTCTACTATGCATCAATGAGGAGATGGCTGAACATGGTTACAAAGCTGGGGCCTTAAACATTTACATTTCACAAGGCCTGTACTTCTACCACACAGGTGGCCAAACATAGGCTGCAGGAGTAGCTGCACGTGTAGTTAACATCAAAAGAGCAGAGCTGAAGTCTTTCATGGAGTCGTCAGTGCAATGACTCTCCCAGCACCCTTTTAGTAAACCATTGTGTTCTGGTCCTGGAACAAATCCATGCACAGGCATCTGCCTCTACTTCTGGTTGAACAGCCAGGTACTGTTCTTGGACTTCAGCTGCCTCCTGCAATCTTCTACTATCTCTCCCTAAAGTAAGCTAAGCAAACTTTACAACAGAAACAAATTCAAATGACTTTCAGGATAAAAGCCAGGCTCCCCTATTTCACTCTTCAAAATATGTCCATGATTTTTTTTATTATTCAAGCAATCAAATTTATTTACTCCATTTTTTAATCGTAAGTCTGAAATAAACTGCATGATTCAGATGGTGGTGTCCATGGGTGGGATTCTATGGAAAGTTAATCTATGGAATACTCTTTCATTTCACCTTGGGTATCTCAGAGTTAACATTGGAGTGCTTTTATAGGATGTTTTTGTTGGAATGAACTTGAAAGACATTTGTCAATCAACAAACATGCAAAAAATTGACTTCAGATCTATCTTATTTGGATGATGGAATGGGAAAGAAAAGTAAAAGCTATGTGATGTGACCTCCTAAAGCAAAAGTGGAGGAGGAAGTCACTGGAGAGATGAATGATACATTTCACACCTCTTGAAATTAAATCTGGGGTAGATTTTTTTTAAACAAAATCCAGTAAAAAGAGCAACAAAACTAAGGTGGCTTTTCACATGGCTTATCACATGTAAGTATATGATTCATGGTCATTGATGTACCTGATATTATAAAGTAATATTTTCAGCAAGCTGGTCAATTAAGATAGTTTGGGTCTTCCTCTGTTGCTGTTGGTTAATCTAGCTAAGGCTTGTCATTTTTGTTGATCTTTTTAAAGAACGAAATTTGATTTTGTTGTTTATCTTTATCGTGTTTCTGTTCTATAAGCTCTGCTCTATTTTTTTCCTCTATTCTTTCTTATGCTTGCTTTAGATTTTGTGTGTACTTTTTTCAGTCTCTTAAGCTGGAAAATTATTGATCTGAGATTTTCTTTTCTAGGAAGGGGATTTACAGTTGTAGATTTTCTTCTATCTTTGTTTTAGCTGCATTCCGAAGTGGTGGGATACTGTGTTTTCTTTTCTTTTTCTTTTATTTTTGGACAGGCAGAGTGGACAGCGAGAGAGAGAAAGGTCTTCCTTTTTTTTTTTTTTTTTTTTCCATTGGTTCACCCCTCCAATGGCTGCTGCGGCTGGCGCACTGCAGCCAGTGCACTGTGCTGATCCAAAGCCAGGAGTCAGGTGCTTCTCCTGGTCTCCCATGCGGGTGCAGGGCCCAAGGACTTGGGCCATCCTCCACTGCACTCCCGGGCCACAGCAGAGAGCTGGACTGGAAGAGGAGCAACCAGGACAGAACCCGGTGCCCCGACTGGGACTAGAACCCGGGGTGCTGGCACCACAGGCGGACGACGGCCTACTGTGTTTTCATTTCAAAGTATTTTGTGATTTGCCAGTGACTTTTTTGACTCTCTGGTTTTTTAGGAGTTTGTTGTTTATTTTCTAAATACGGACAAAATTTTTGTTTTTGATTTATCATTTTCCTTCATTGTTAGGTTAGAAAACATATATTTTGTGTGATCTTGATATTTTAAATTTATTGAGACTTGTTTTGTGGCCTAACGTATGGTTTGTCTTGGGGAATGTTCTGTGTACAGTTAAGAAATTATAGTATTTTTGGGTAATACATTCTATCAATGCCTATTAGTTCTAGTTGGCTAATAGTATTATTAATGTCTTTATTTATTACTAATCTTCTGCCGGTTTTATAAAGGATAGAAAGATATTCAAGTCTCTATTATTGCTGAATTATCTATTTCTCCTTTCAACTGTTTTTCTTCATGCATTTTGGGTATCTGTTGTTAGGTATATTTATATGTATTTTATCCTTTTGATTGAATTATCCTTTTACATTATAGAATATTACTCATCTCTAATAACATTTTTGCTTTAATATACTTTTATAGATGTTAGTACTCTAGATTTCTTGTAGTTGCTGTTTGTATGATGATATATTTTTCCATCTGTTGCATTCGATATATATGTATGTATTTAAATTTTAAATCCATGCATAGTTTTTTCTTTAAATTATTTTATTTTTTATTTATTTGAAAGGTGGGGGAGACAGAGAGAGAGAGAGAGAGGTCTTTCATCCATTGGTTTACTTCCTGATATGCCCACATATCAGTTGGGCTGGACCCAACTGAAGCCAGGAGTATGAAACTCAATCCTTGTCTTCAGTAGGGGTAACAGGAACACAATTACTTCAACCATTACCTGCTGCTTCCCAAGGTGTACATTAATAGGAAGCTGGATTGGAAGCAGAGCTGGGACTCAAACCCAGGCATTCTGATATGGAATGCTGGCATCTCTGGTGGAATATTAATCACTAGGCCAAATGCCTGCTCCTATTTGTGTTTTAGAATCTAAAGTGTATCTCAATAGACAGCTTATAGTCGGATCTTGATTTTTTTTGTTCAGCCATGTGGTCTCTCTGACTTTGTATTGAGTTATTTAACTCATTCACATTTATTGTTATTGTCAACATAGTTGTTTTTTTGTCTGCCATTTTACTTTTACTTTTCTACATATGTCATGTCTTTTTGTTGTTGCTATTTCCTCTGTTACTTTTTACATTAAGTGAATATTTTCTAATATAATATTTCAATATTTCATTTATTTTGAACTTATTTTGGGGATAATTGTTCTAGGGCAAAACATATCCATGCTAATTTATCAAAATGTACTGACTTATTCAGATTTATACTGAATTGATTACAATGAACTATTTTTGTTACTCTAAAATAGCTCTTTCTTTTTTTCCTCCTTTTTTGCTATTAATGTTATGCACATTATATCTATATCTGTCTATCTATCTGGTACAAAGTCACAGTACTCAATGCACATATATTGTTACAATTATTATTACATGTCTTTTAAAGAAGTAAAGAAAGGGAATACAAGTATATAGGATAGAGCTTCTTATATTAACTTTTTTATTTACAATAGCTATATCACTCCTAGCCGCAGGTTTCTAATAATTGCAGGGTAATTATTGTGGTGTTTTTGGAAGTGTCTTGGGGCACAATTTGCTCCACATTCTATTCAATTAAATTTGAACACCCTTTGCAAGGATAGTTTTGAATCCAGTTTTTAAGGTTTGTCCTGGCTTCAGGAGAGCTCTTAGTTGTCCCTTTCATTGGGCTTCTCTGATAAATTAGCGGACATATAGTTGTTTTTTTTTTTTTTTTTTTTTTTTTTTTACAGGCAGAGTGGACAGTGAGAGAGAGACAGAGAGAAAGGTCTTCCTTTGCCATTGGTTCACCCTCCAATGGCCACCACAGCCAGTGCTCTGCGGCCGGCGCACCGCGCTGATCCCATGGCAGGAGCCAGGTGCTTCTCCTGGTCTCCCATGGGGTGCAGGACCCAAGAACTTGGGCCATCCTCCACTGCACTCCCTGGCCACAGCAGAGAGCTGGCCTGGAAGAGGGGCAACTGGGACAGAATCCGGCGCCCTGACCGGGACTAGAACCCGGTGTGCCGGCGCCGCAAGGCGGAGGATTAGCCTAGTGAGCCACGGCGCTGGCCAGACATATAGTTTTAATTTGATGGCCTTGTATAGCTAAACGACCTCATCTAAATTACTTGTCACAATAATCCTCATTGTTTTCTGCATCAGCCTTACCCTTGAACTTCCACGCACACTTATAAAATCAGTTCTTTTGTGTAGAGCTTGTGGTGTTCTCTGTTCTTGTCCAACACAAAGTCTTTGATCCACAGTTTCAAGGTTATGGCTAGGCATAGTGGCTTGTTTCTCATGGAGTGATATTCATTGCAAACAGCAGATCTGGGTGGAACAGCATCCTCTGGTCTTTGTGCTTGCCTTCCCCAGCATGAGTCCTCTACCATATGAATCAAGGTGAAAGTGAGCCAGGCTTACATAGAATCTCTGCTTTGTGAGCAGAGGCTAAGTGAAGGTAAGGTGACCCATGGCCTTTTATGGCTGAAGCCCTGAAAAGTAGCCTCTGCAAGCCTCTTCATATCCCTTGACTGCAACTGAAAGAAGAGGAAACCCCATATTCTTGGGCAAACAGTGGAGATTTAGTCACACCAAACTGCTGTATAGATATGGAAAATTACTCAAGTTTCAAATCAAATACTCTTACTGTTCTTACTGAGATTTAGATTTCTTTTTTAACAAATGTTTTTCCCTGTTAGCTATATGTCCTGAGGACAATTTCTAGACACTTGCTGTTATGCTAATTTGTTTTATTTTATTTTAGAATTTTCACCAGTTGTGGTTGTTTTTCTGGGGAGTAATTTTGTGGAGCTCTGTGTACTGCTGTCCTGGGTATACTTCTCCGTCATTTAAAGTGATATGTCACCCATGTTGTCACAATGTCACGCCCCTTTTGAAATTTTCAATTGAGTCAGCTTATTTTTC